CAATACGTATTTCATCTAAGCAACACAGTCGCCCATTACGTCCGTTACGTCGACGTTGGCAACGTTGTCGCAAGCTATGAACGCAGCCTAATCGTTCCAAATATAAGCATTGGTTTGGCAACTTGCTTTAAACGCAAGAGGTGCTGTGCTAGAGGAGATACTCCAGAAGCACATAGCTCAGTGTGAAACTAAACCACATCATGCCAGCACGTGTGCACCCTCTAGCAGAAATGGGTATTATTGGATTTGAATGGCGTTTTAGGCAACGAACGTGCAACGTCGTTACCGGACCTTGTGCCACACGGGACACGTTCCGCGGTCACGAATGGAAGGTACTGGGGCTCAAATGCACATAGCAAATATTCAGTAGTGAGAGAAAATGCAGAAAACACCATTCTGAATGCCCTGCTAGGAAGATGGGACTCCCTGCTGATACGGACCTGCATGAGTATACAATGAAGAGAGGGTGTGTTCGGACGAGTTTCCCTCTTGCTGGGATCATGAACAATATGCGCATTTTATCCTATGATCCCAGCAAGAGGAAACTCGTCCGAACACACCCTCTCTTCATCGTATGCTCATGCAGGTCCGTATCAGCAGGGGAGTCCCATCTCCTAGCAGGGCATTCAGAATGGTGTTTTCTGCATTTTCTCTCACTACTGAATATTTGCTATGTGCATTTGAGCCCCAGTACCTTCCATTCGTGACCGCGGAACGTGTCGTGATGCAGCAACGTCACGTCATGACGACGTTGCACGTTCGTTGCCTGAACCATTTCAGATCCAATTTATACCCAATTTCCGCTAGAGGGTGCACACGTGCTGGCATGATGTGGTTTAGTTTCACACTGGAGCTATGTGCTTTGAAGTATCTCCTTTAGCACAGCACCTCTTGCGTTTAAAGCAAGTTGCCAAACCAATGCTTATATTTGGAACGATTAGGCTGCGTTCATAGCTTGCGACAACGTTGCCAACGTCGACGTAACCGACGTGGCGACTGTGTTGCGTAGATGGAATACGTATTGACCCGAGGTAACAGACGTAACCGACGTAAGCGACGTTTTCGGTGACAACACCGGACCGACGTAATAGCCATGATCAACGTAACCGACTTAATGTGCGACCAAAGACTAGATACGCATCGGTCCGACGTATCGACGTAATCGACGTAACCGGCAACAGAATACAGTGCGTAACAAAAGTATGTGGACACCTCAAATTTTTGTCCTGCAAAATTGCCTTTGAATTTTGCGATATGAGACCTTTATTGTTGAATTCCTCATAAGCGAAAACATAGGAATACACTACTTCTGAGCACTTTGTGAACTACTGTACAATTATTGTTTTGAAAAAGTTTCTTAATAACAAAAGTATGTGGACACCTGAGGAAGTCCAAAGTTTGGCTCCAGATCTGCAATCCATTTTTATTGTCTCTAGTCCCCATTAACCTGTACTCATGCCTCGTCGTGGTGGTCCTCTCAACGAAGACGAACAAGCTCGGATTTGAGCTTTCAGTGCTGCAGGACACTCGAAT